AAAGTATATGTTCAGAGTTATTTGGATCTGCTAATTGGGTGTATTGGAGAAACATGGCCAAGGTTTGTGCTGGGAACACTGCTAAGTACAAAAGACATGAAAGGGAGTATAGGAGATGGAGAGTTTTGTTTCATTTAAGACAAGCCGACCCTTAGTGGGCTTCCTGTTCCAAAAGTTAGAGCTTGCTGAAAGGCAATTGAGAAGTCCAGGCAGAAAGCATATACTTTGGAGCATCCTCTCAGAGGTGTTTTCTGGAGCCCATGGGAAATGAGAGCCGAAGGGGAAAGTGTGGATGGTTTCAGAGTTGAGGAGTGTCTGAGCTGGGTCTCTGAAAGGACCTCCATCCTCCTCTAGCACTGGCCTGGCATCCTGCTGATGACTGCCAACCAACGAGTACTTGGTTACCTTGTCCAAATCTCCATGAATAATAATTCAGTACCTCTTGACTGTTAGGGGACTGTGTTCAGTGCATTTTTGAATTTCACTGTATTAAGTAAATTCTCCCCTTGAGGGGGGTGGGGTGGGGGAAAGAAAATAAAATTTATTATTAAAAAAATTATTCCCCTTAAGTGAAGTGTAAGTTTGTTTTTGTACGGCTCTACCCATTTTCTAATTCGAACCCAAGGGCCAATCAAACAAGCCTAATTCTTGTATGAATTGTTTTTATTGACAAATTATACTTGTATACAGTCATGGATTATCTCTTATAGTTTTTATTTTTTATTTTTGTTTTTTGAGATAGGGTCTCACTATGTAGTTGACACTGATCTGGAACTCACGATGTAGCCCAGGTGGTTTCGAACTCACAGTGATCCTCCTGCCTCAGCCTCCCAAGTGCTGGGATTATAGGCGTGTACCACCACACCTGGCTTATCTCATAGTTTTAAACTGTCCTGCTTTCATTGTGCCCCTAAAGATGTAGCCCCAGGGAAGCCAGTGTTCAGGTGAGACTGTTGGGGTAGAGCAGTGTTGTCATTGCCTATGCTATGGGTCCTGTTTAGGTTATGTCATAACTGTATGTGTCAAACTGTAGAACCCACTAGTAGACAGTGACATCATTGTAAAAGATTGCAACCTGCATTTAAAAAGAGAGGAAGAAGAAAAATACATTCATCTGGTAAGGGGAAGTATTTCCCAAAATGTCATTTATAAGTACATAATGGATCATGGTGTAATATATACTTAATATGGGTTGTAGTCAGAAAGTTTGAAAAAGTCACATCATACCATATTGAATATACTGTCAGTTGTCCATCTTTAAGCTGTCTGATTCCTGAAACATTTTAATGCCTGCTGCTGCCATTTTTAGGTGCTTTTCCTATCTTTAATTTGTGTAGTTTGGGACCTTAGTATGGGATCCTATTTTCCCTAGTTGATTTTTTTTCTTTTCTAGCTTGTTGATCTTTTGGCACATGGTCCAGCCTGTTTGACCTTGGAGCACCTGCCGCTGTCATTTAACATAGTTTTATCACTATTTTTAACACCTGCCTGTTTAATAAGTATTCCTTCTGTATAAGTATGTTGAACAGGACAGTTGTGAGAACAAAGTCCTGTGGTAGATCCTTAGAGATTCTGTCCCCTAGAACTTGATTCACCACTTGTGATCTTTGAGCATGGTCACCTACATAGTGGGGAACCAGCCCTGACAACCTGTAATTCTCTGAAGCTGGCCTCAAAGGGGTCATGGCAGATCTTGTGAAACTTAAACATCTACAGATTGAGTTGCAAACTAAAAAGCCTGGAGGGATTTGACAGGTAACACAAGTGAATGAAATGATAATTAATTCAGGCAATTAAGAAATAATCTCTGACCCCTGGACTTGGTTTCAAGAAGGCAATGTGCAGTGGTGAAACTGGGGTTGAACTGGAGCAGTTGTGTTCTTTATATGTGGTAGCCATTGCTGTATTAAAGACAAACTTGCCAGATAGCAATGTGGACCTTCAAGAAAACCCAAATTTGGGCTGGGGATTTAGCTCAGTGGTACCACCGCCTACCTCGCAAGCACAAGGTCTAGAGTTCGATCCCCGGTACCCAAATAAAATGAAAACCCAGTTTTCATGGACAATTTTATTTTTGAATGTTGGGAAAACAAACAAAGGCATTAACACTGTATAGGCCAAACCAGATTTGTGATAAATTTGGCCTGTAGCCTTCTGGTTTGCGACTGTCAGCTATAGTGTCTCTATCTACTGATCTGCTGACCACATGACGCAAGTCAGTGAGGTTGGTTGGGTGTTGACAGGTTGATGGTCGACCTGACTTCTTGTGGTTCATCTGTTTCCCCTTTCAGGAATCCTAACTGGGGCTCTTTTAGTAATCAGTAGACTAACAGTTGGGGCTGGCTTTTGTCCTCCTTCCATTAGCACCTTTTTCTGCTGGCCAATTTGTTTCAGGATTACTGACAGGTATTGAGAAATGTATCAGTGGCATCCCTTGGCTGGGAAACTGGAATCTAGGGTTTCTTAAAATCTCCCAACCAGGCTAGTTTTACTTCCTCCGCCTTATATCCATATCTACTTTTTCCTTCTCTATTTCAAAAAATACTTTCCTTCTCAGGAAATCCACAGGCACAAGGCTGGCCTAGCCCTTCCTTATCCTTATTCACACACCAGAAATAACTTCTAAATTCCCTTTTAGTTGTCTTGACCATTTTGGGGAAGCCTTGGCTCATGGAGCATTAGTCTTTCTGACACTGTTTTTGTAAAGCCATGCTACTCTCATGTTTCATCTTGGTTATGCATGCTTCTTCTGTCCTTTATGCATAAGCATGTAAATTTTAATCACTTCAGATTTTGTAGCCTCTGTTAGGCACTCTAGTCTGTGTTTTAAAGAAGGGAACATTGGGTCATCAACTGTATTCTTCAGCATCCAGAAGGTAGTCTTACACCTGGGTTAGGGAGAAAGCTGGATGAGTCCATGGCCAATGGGGAACAAGAGGCCTTTTATTGTCCTAGGAGTATGTTACTGTACTAGTTCGGAGCAGGAGACACAGAAGTCATTATAATGTGGACATTACTTTGCAGAACTACTACTTGGTGAATGAGTAGCCACTTGAACATGAAGTAGTCATGGCATGTAATCAGTGTTATAGGTGCCATGGGAATCTGGGGGAAGGAGCCCTGGTGTACAAGGTGCCATGAGAATCCAGGAGAAGAAGCCATAGATAACTTTCCCAGCTGGGTAGGAGGAGGTGACACTAAGCTAGCACTTGAAGGATAAGCCAGAGTGACTGCTCTGAGAGGCTGTAAAGGCTGGTAACTGCATGTACAAAGCTTGGTGACCTTGGGGAACATGGCCTGTTGGAATAAGCATAAGGGTCTTTTATGGCCAGAGCAGGAGCAGTGATGAGGATAAGGCAGGACCTGCAAGCTGAGCCCTCACTTCCCACAGAGCTGATCTCATGTCCCAGTTTTCACTGCCCCTTTGGGAGCTCATGATGGCCGTGTCTGGCAGTTCTGGGCCTAGCATCATTTTAGCTATCTGTTTAAAGTACTTTGTACTCTTCCAAGGAGCTAGTTTCTTTTTACCCATTTGCTTTATCATTTTTTCTATAGATGTGTATTTTTATATATGCATATTTTTTCAGAACTGTTTAAAATGAAGTTGGAACTGCTATGTCCTTTTGCCCTTAAACACTTAGAGGATATTCTTTTATATAACCATAATTTAATGATCCAAGTCCATATTAAGAAGGACACAATATTATCTTGTCCATGTCCGTATTAAAATTTCACCAATTGTCCCAATAATACACTTTATTGCTGTTTTTCTCCTAGAACAGGATCTAATCTGTGAACATACATTTTGTTTCATACAAGGTAGAGGTTCTGAGAACATTTTGGTACTTTCTTAGAACACGTGGAGTTTGGGTTTATCTGACATTTCCTCATGAATAGATTCAAGTCCTTAGTGTATCATATCAAGGGGCATGTGATGTTGTTTTTTTTCCAATATTGGTATTAACTTTGGCCATTTATTTAAGGAGGTGTCCGCTAGATTTTTCCACTGTAAAGTTATTATTGTAATTAAATAATCTAAAGGAGCTACTTTGAGACCATGTGTATATCCCATATCTCATCAGGCTTCCATCTAGTACTAGTACCATCTACTATGACTTTTGAAACCTGTCATTCCTTCTGTGTTCTTTCTTGGAAGTCCACAGTAAGGAAGAGCTTTCCTTTCCTGAAGGATGAATCTTGCAAATTCAATTTTATGTCTTTGCCTACACCTTCCCTTTTGTGTGCTCTGTAGATCACGTGTATGATGATAGTTCCTGGGCTTGGGGAAAGCTCTAAATCTTTTTTCCCAGCAGCAGTTTTCTTGTCATCAGCATGACTGGCTCAGCATGAGTTTGATCATGCACTGTGTAGGATCATCAGTGTTTCCCTGAGGCCTAGGGCTGTGTGTGGGGATGTGATCTGTTTGTTATCAACTCTCTGAGCTCACTCAGCCTGGGCTTGAGAGAGGCAGTAATGGGGAGAGAAGGAACTGTAGGTTCCTTCCCAGTAGGAAGCTGTGAACCCTGTCCCAGGTTGAGTTTGTGAATGTGGCTTTCCTGACCTCTGCACACACACAGCCTTCCCACTTAGAGTACGTGGTTACGTGCTAGGCTTGGTTAGCTTTCTTTCCTTCTTGACAAAACCATAATAAACATAGCTCCAATGTGATTTTGGTCACTATGAGTCCACAGTGAGTCAAGGACCATTTTTTTTTTGGTGTCCTTGGTTTTGGGGATACTCTGTCAGTGTGATTGATCTGTAGCTCTTGAGGCCTGAGCGACACTGAGAATTCCACATTAGGATGTCCTAAAGCCCTTCCTTCCATTTCTGCAAGTGAAGCTAGCTAAGGAAAACAGACATGGGAAAATGAACTGAGGCTCAAAAAGTACTAGGGAGATTTGCAGGAAAAGCAAGGTTTAGAATGGTGTGAAGCAGGGTGATGCTTTTCAAATAATATGGTTCATTTTCCCCCCTTTATTTCCTCTCCCCTCTCTCTCCAGACAGGCTCAGAGCTCAGCCCAGTTGATGGACCTGTTCCAGGTCAGATGGACTCAGGGCCAGTGTACCATGGGGACTCACGGCAGCTAAGAACCTCAGGGGCGCCGGTCAATGGTGCTAGAGAGCCCGCTGGACCCAGTCTGCTGGGGGCTGCAGGTCCTTGGCGGGTAGACCAGAAGCCCGACTGGGACGCTGCCCCAGGCCCAGCTCACACTGCTCGCCTGGAAGATGCTCATGATCTGGTGGCCTTTTCGGCTGTGGCCGAAGCTGTGTCCTCTTATGGGGCCCTTAGCACCCGGCTCTATGAAACCTTCAACCGTGAGATGAGTCGTGAGGCTGGGAATAACAGCAGGGGCCCCCGGCCAGGGCCTGAGAGCTGCTCTCTTGGCAGTGAAGACCTTGACACGCTGCAGACAGCCCTGGCCCTTGCACGGCATGGCATGAAACCACCCAATTGCAACTGCGATGGCCCAGAATGCCCTGACTACCTCGAGTGGCTGGAGGGGAAGATCAAGTCTGTGGTCATGGAAGGAGGGCAGGAGCGCCCTAGGGTCCCAGGAACTCTACCCCCTGGTGAGGCTGGCCTCCCAGCACCAAGCACCAGGCCACTTCTTAGCTCTGAGGTCCCCCAGATACCTCCCCTGGAGAGCCTGCCCCTGTCCCAGAGTGCCCTGAGCATCGCCAAGGAAAAGAATATCAGCCTGCAGACCGCTATTGCCATCGAGGCCCTCACACAACTCTCCTCCACTCTGCCCCAGCCTTCCCACTCCACCTCCCAGGCTTCATGCCCCCTCCCTGAGGCCTTGTCCCCTTCTGCCCCTTTCAGGTCTCCCCAGTCCTACCTCCGGGCCAATTCATGGCCTGTGGTTCCTTCTGAAGAGCACCCATCTTTTCCTCCTGACAGTCCTGCCTTCCCCCCAGCACCTCCTAGAACTGAATTTCCTGAAGCCTGGGGCACTGACACCCCACCCGTGACACCCCGGAACTCCTGGCCGGTACCCCGCCCAAGCCCTGATCCCATGGCGGAACTGGAGCAGTTATTGGGCAGTGCCAGTGATTACATCCAGTCAGTATTCAAGAGGCCTGAAGCCCTGCCCACCAAGCCCAAGATTAAGGTTGAGGCACCCTCTTCTTCCCCAGCCCCATCCTCATCTCCCATTCTCCAGAGAGAGGCTCCCACACCATCCTCAGAGGCTGACACTCACCAGAAGGCCCAGACCGCCCTGCAGCAGCACCTCCACCATAAGCGTAGTCTCTTCCTAGAACAGGCCCACGATGCCTCCTGTCCTGTGGAGCCTCCTGTTCCTGGCTGGTGGGCCCCACCAAGCTCACCTGCTCCAAGGCCTCCAGACAGACCACCCAAGGAGAAAAAGAAGAAGCTCCCCACACCAGCTGGAGGTCTTGTGGGAACAGACAAAGCTGCCCCTGGGATCAAACCCAGTGGCCGAAAACCCATTCAGATCAAGAAGTCCAGGCCACGGGAAGTGCACCCCCTCTTCTTGCCTGTCCGACAGATTGTCCTGGAAGGTCTGAGGCCCCTAGTCTCTGAGGAAGTGCAGGCACATGCACCTGCCCCCCTCTCTGCCCCTCTCCCTCCCGCTCTCCCTGCCACACAGGGCTCTGCTGTCCCCTTGCCCACAGAACCTTCTCTTGCGCTATTTGCACCTAGTCCCTCCGGGGACAGCCTGCTGCCCCCTACTCAGGAAATGAGGTCCCTCAGCCCTATAGCTAACCTGCAGCCAGGCTCTGCTGGCCCCCTTCCCCCTGCTGATGACAAGCTGGAAGAGCTCATCCGGCAGTTTGAGGCTGAATTTGGGGATAGTTTTGGGCTTCCTGGCCCCCCTTCTGTGCCCATTCAGGACCCTGAGAACCAGGCAACATGTCTCCCAGCCCCTGAGAGCCCTTTTGCTACCCGTTCCCCCAAGCAAATCAAGATCGAGTCTTCAGGAGCTGTGACTGTGCTCTCAACCACCTGCTTCCATTCAGAAGAAGGAAGCCAGGAGGCCACACCCACCAAGGCTGAGAATCCACTCACACCCACCCTCAGTGGCTTCTTGGAGTCACCTCTTAAGTACCTGGACACACCCACCAAGAGTCTGTTGGACACACCTGCCAAGAGGGCCCAGGCTGAGTTCCCCACTTGTGATTGTGTCGGTAAGTCACTGGGTATTGGGAAGGGCAAAGAGCTGTGGCCTGGTGGACTTGGATTTCTAAACTCTATCTTTCATTTGACAAACATTCACTGTGTGCTAACTACCACACTGGTCCTGAGAATCCAGAAATGAACTGATAGACTAGTGAAAAAGACATTGAAGGAAAGTGATGATGATGATGTACTGTGATACACCCTGTGGCAGTGGAGGTGGGCACAGGTGCTTGGGGTTCAGATCTAGCTGGGGGCATCATGGAGGCTTTCCTGTAAGTACCTGGCACCTGTGCTGAGCCATGTAGGGCCAGCAGGTAGAAAGGCTTTCTAGGAAGATGGAACAGCCTGGAGTGTGGGAAAGTGAGATTTGTTTGGACTATTCTTGGTCTGACAGCAGTAAAGGGGATGAAGAAAAGATGGCTTGAGGTGTAGGAAGGGGTCGAATAGCGCAGAGTCCAGGAAGCCAAGGTTAGGAATTGAATTTGATCCCATGGAAAGTAGTGAGCTTACTCAGTTTGGAAGCAAGTAAAGCCCTATCATCTTATTCTTTTGCAAGACTATTCTGTCTTGTGGTGGGGAGAAAAGATTGGTGCAAAAACTGTAAGAAAGTTGTTAGGAGCCATGCAAGAAATGGAAATGATTGCCTGAAAGAGTGGGGTGGTGGTTGGGAGCCAGCTGAGAGTGTCTGGGGTCTCTTAGGAGGAGAAGAGAATGCAGATTTGAGGTGCGGGGAGGAGAGGCAGTGAATTCTCTTTGTACAGCCTGTCTTAAGTGGCTGAAAGGCTGAAAGGAGCTCTGGAGATAGAAGTCTTAACAGGGTTACTTAAGAGTAGTATGTTCAGCTGTGCTGTGGGTCAGTGCTGAGGAGTTGTCACCCCTTAGGCCTTGCCTTCAGGGACAGAAGGCTCTGAGGACAGTTCCTCTCTATGTGACTGCATCACCAAGGTTCTGGGAGTGGTGGTAAGCAGCAGGCCCACTGGGCTCCTGTGCTCTGCTCTTTATGGAGTGTTTTGTAAAAAAACATGCATTTCAGGTGTTGACAGAAAAACAGATGCTAGTGATGAGCATGTTGCATTTTTTTGTTTTTGTGATACACAAATGGATCTTAGGAAAAGGCTGCATTCTTGACTTGTTGACATGTTTAAATAGCAAGTAATTGTGTGATTTGTTGGGATGCTTCGTTGGGTCAGTGAGAAAGAGCTAGGCTGTCCTCCTTCAACTTTCCCTGACTCCTGGGTATGAAGGAAAGGGGCTGTTGACAAGGATTCAGGTGTTGAGCAAAGAAAGCTGACCCCATGCTTCAGTGAGGAAAAGATGTGAAGGGTCCTGCTGAATGTTCCTGTGAACGTTCACACTCCAGAAGTATGCCTCCCCACTACCTTTGCTTCTTCACATAACTAGTAATGATATGACTTCAGGACCCCCCCTTATCTCCCAGTGTTTGGGGGTAGCTTGTTCTGATTACAGTGATCAGAGGAATCTCCCCACCCTTCTGGCTGTGCATGCCCTTTTGTGTGTGTCTTTCCCACTGCCTATTTAGTTCTGTTCGATTTTTCTTCCCTATGTGGGTTAGAAGTGTCTTTACCTAGTGCTTAGGACAGTTTATCTTTAATAAATGTTTTAATTGTTGAGTTCAAAATTATATAGGCATTAGGGTTGGTGAAAATAGTTTTTTTTTTTTTTTTTTTTTTTTTTTTCT